TGTCCGATCTCTATTATATACAAGCGTTCTTCCGATGCAACATCTCGTGGATTCGAAGTGTTGTGCGCAGCCTGCGTCCGGGTGCATCCGAATCCGCCGTGTCTGACAGTGCAGTTCAACCTTTGTTTGATTTTGTTCAGTCCGGACAGCTCAAATTGTGCGCGGACAGTGAATCGGTCCGGGCCATGGATGCCATCCGGGTACGTTTTTGTAATTACCGGTCTGTGTGTGTGCGTGTGTATTTATGTAATATAGCATTTTCCATTCCTTGAGTCAGAAGAAATTTCACCCATGAGCAGCCAATATCTATTCATATTTGTTAAATCATATTGGATGTGGATAGCCATCTGGCTACACCCTTATGTGCCCCGCCAGTGTTTGTTTGTTTTCTATCATACTCTTACAGCACTTCGATTGGGATCGCATCGGTGAGATCAATTTCGGCCTGACGGAGTCTGTCATGCATGCCCTCCGCTCGCAACGCACACACGCCACGGATATCAATCTGGTCGGGTCTTCTTTGGCTCAAGACATCACTGTCTAGAATCTCCGTGTGTACTACTTGCATTTTGCTCTCTCTCTCTCTTTGTCTCTGCTCGCAGCTTTTTTTCTGCGAAAATTGTGCATTTTTAACTTCTCATTCGATTTTCCCCTCCTCCTGGTCCGAAACACATTTTATCCACTGCCCTGTATCCTTATACTTCTAATCCCGGAGAAATAGTGATATCTATCATATGTATTAGGAATCCGTTGACCGGGACCTACTAATTACCGGATTTATGACCTAACTTCTCTAACATCATTGCTCCACCGACTCATGAACTCATCGAGTTGCAAATAATTTTTCCTTTTGATCAGATTGTTCCTTTCTTCATTTTGTTTTGTTTCCCCTCTATTTTATGCGTTCTTCTTTCAATCAGCCCTTTGTTGTTGTTGTTGTTTTCTTGTCTACTCTCACATTCTCGTTCACTTGCTCTCGCCTTTCACGGCAATCAATCACTCTCGGTCCCAAGCTCGGTCTGTGATTAGTCCCCGGTTGTTGTTCTTGATGCCATATTGCTGTTGTGGTGCGGTGCAGTGCAGATTAGAAAATAAAACTATTTGTTGTCTCACCGGTGCAATCGGGTCGTTGTTGTTGTTGTTTTTATATTTCCTTTTGCACATTGTATGTAATATACAATGAGTAGTAAATGAATGACTGGACAAAATTCCCCAGAAGCACACAATCGGTTTTGCAGTCCTTGCCGCTCGTTAGGTATGCGCATCTGGTCATTCTTATACCTGAACTATCGATGTGAATTATGCAATGCAAACTTGATCTGCAGCTCATCGAGTGGATTTGAGACGAGCAGGTCTTGAAAGAATCATTGTGATGATTCTGAATACCGTGTTGTTGGCTAGTGACGTCCAAACCTCAGCCAACTCGATGCTAGGGCCGATTTCCAGTGATTTTATAATGAGTGGTATATGAATGTATATATCCAGTCATTTGGAAAGGTAGTCAATGGATAGGCATACACAAAACGTTACCAAGCCATCGAAGGCGGTGTAGCGCGATTCCTCCCTTGAGAGTCCGACTATCCAACCCCGTTATCGCTCATCCGATGTTCCCACCAGACACGATCAATGCTTCGAGGAAATCGGTGGTCGAATACAGAAATTCAATTAGCATCCTCAAAGCGGAGGGGCCAGGTTTCGCAACCATAAAACAGCGCCACGAACTATGGTGATGTGCTCTTTCCCTTAAAGGACAGTCGTATGTTATGGTATCGCAGGTTAGCAAAAGCCGTTTTAACTTTTGCTGTTCGTGACAGGGTTACCTCCAGCTGCGATAAAGCTTCCGATGGACTCAAAGCTCGCGACTGCTTCCAGCTGGCCAGGCTATGTGCTGAACAAATCACTGTAAAACAATATTTATAAAAAGAAAAAGTTGCGCGATTTGCTAGTCGGGTCAATATGGAGGGTTCCCTATGCCAGTGCAGGTGAATTTTCACAGGGAATTCACTGCCGGAGCCTCTGACCCGCATGGCAGCGGCACCGTATGTGAA